CACACACACACACACACACACACACACACACACACACTGTTTGCAGATCAGAATGTAGCTCTCAGTTACTTCTCCAGCACCAAGTCTGCCTACCACCATGCTCCCCACTGTGACAATAGTGGACTAACCGCTGAAACTTCAAGCAAGCCTCAATTAGATGCTCTTTCCAAAAGCTGCCATGGTCATGGTCTCTCTCTCTCTCTCTCTCTCTCTCTCTCTCTCTCTCTCTCTCTCTCTCTCTCTCTTCTTTTCTTTTTCGAGACACGATTTCTCTATAGCTTTGGAGCCTGTCCTGGAACTCGCTTTGTAGACCAGGCTGGCCTCGAACTCACAGAGATCCACCTGCCTCTGCCTCCCGAGTGCTGGGATTAAAGGCGTGCTCCACCGCCCAGCTGGTCTTGGTGTCTCTTGACACCAATAGAACTGTGACACAGGCAGCAGGCTAAAGCAGAATGAAGAAGTCTCTGCTATGGGCCCCAGATTCTATCCAATGGCTTTCTTAGCTTTCTGGGTTGATGGAAACTAAGGTTTTGTTAAGTTAATATAATCCAAAAGTTTCATCTGTTAGGATGTTAAGTCAGGCATAGACGTGGACAAGGCATGGCTACTCAGGGGACTATAAAGGTAGCCCAAGATAAACTGTAGTTAGACTCTGGACCTGCAACATTCCAACTCTTCCCCATCACTGAGGTTCTTTTGGGGAGAAGTATAGCCTCCCCAGGAGCCTCCACTCACAGGGGTGATGGTTTGCCTGTGACCCTGGCTCACAGAGGCAGGAGGGCTGAGAAACCAAAGCCAGTCTTGGCTACATAATAAGATCTTATGCTAAAAGAAATAAATAGACTTATCCGGGTGGCGGTGGGGCACACCTTTAATCCCAGCACTCAGGAGGCAGAGGCAGGTGGAGTGGTGAGTTTGAGGCCAGCCTGGTCTGCAGAGCTTGTTCTAGGGCAGCCAGCACTACATAGAGAAACCCTGTCTCCAACAAACAAACAGAGTATTTCCCAGCCCCTCTCTAATGAGCCTGCCTTCCACCATAGCATATGTGTCCTGAGCTCCAATACTTTGTATTTAGGGTGGGGACACGGTGCCAGGGACTGATCATGCTGCTGCCCTCCAGTCACCCAGCTACATCCTGGGTCCTCGTAAATTAGTGGCTAATGCCGGTTACCAACTCGAACGGACTGGGAGACACCCAGAAGCATAGTAAGCATATTTCTGTATGCACGTGGGGGTGTTTTAGAGAGGACTGGGGTCCATCTGTGACATGAAGACAAGACCCCAGTCTGGACAGCACAGTGCGAGCCAGTCTTGGGCTTTAGAGACGGCTCTGGGTAAGAACCCTTGCTGTACACATGCTATACACAGGAGAGGACCCGAATTCTGGCCTCGAGTAGCCATGTAAATGTGTCTTCCGTCCTGGCACTCGGGAGGTAGAGACAGGTGGAACTCTTTTAGTCTGAGGCCAACCTGGTCTACAAGTGAGTTCCTGGCCAGCTGGGACTACATAGTGAAATCCCGTCTCAAAAAAATTCAAATAAGAAATTGCATGTGGCCATGATGTCCTGGCTGGTGTGGGGAAGGCAACAGGGCTGAGACAGGGGCATGGCTGAGACAGGGGCATCGTTGAGACCATCTGGCTGCTGTCATCACCAGAAAAAAAGTGCTCAAGCTCCATGTTCAGTGAAGGATCCTGCATGCGCTTGCACACACACACACACCATACACATACATACACACATACCACATGCATGTACATACCACACACACACCATATATATATATACACGCAACCCACACAACCCAAACATACATACACACATACCACATGCACACATACACCACATATACACACATACAACCCACACATACATACACACACCACATGCACACACACACACCACACACAACATATACATACACACAATCCACATATACATACACACATACTACATAGATACACACACCACACATGGACCACATATACATATGTACAACCCATACATCCCACACATGCAAACACACATACCACATGCACTCACACACCACACATGGACCACATATACATACACACAACCCCCACAACCCCCACACACATACCACATGCACACACAACACACACGGACCACATATACATACACACAACCCCCACACACATACACACATACCACATGCGCACACACACCATACACAGACCACATATACATACATACAATACATACATACATACACACATACTACACGCACACACACCACACACAGACCACATATACATACGTACAACCCACACATGCATACACACATACCACAT